CTTTTGGGTTGCTCGCGGTCGACCGCGAGTTTTCCACGGTCGACCGCCGATCGCCCAACGGTTAGTTTTGGTACAGAATCAGATTTTTGATTCTTAGGCTTTTTAGTCTTTTCCTTTGGGATTTTGGCTGAGATTTTGGGAGGCTATATATACCCCCTTGCTCTCATATTTCATGGACAACAATGAGAATATTTTAAACAAGTTTAACAATGGTTTTAAAGTTTGTTTTGTGTGTTTTAAAAGAGTTTGGTCTTGTGAAGACTGTTTCACAAGTGGAGGAGATCATCTATATTGTTTGGGCTTCATCTTAATCCATCTCTCCATCTTATTTTTTCAGAGAAGAATTTCTAAACTCATATCTAGCTTTACATTTGCATATTTGTTTTGATTATCATTCTTTAAAGCTAGTTTTTATATTGAGTTTAGATTTGATAACTTATTGTTACACACCATTCTTTAAAGCTAGTTTTTATATTGAGTTTAGATTTGATAACTTATTGTTACACACACCCACATTGAGTTTATTGTATTCATACATAGTATATTTGGGTTGGTGAGTGTTATAATTTTGAGTGTGAGCTTACATTGAGTTCTCATCTATTATAGAGAACAAATCATTTGTTATATTATGAGATTGTAAAGTTTTTGGTGAGCTAGAAAACCGAGTGTGAGGTGTAGACGTTGATTGGTGAGCGTTGAAAACCGACATTGTGAGAGTGTGAATTGTGAAGTTTTCGGTGAACTAGAAAACCGAGTGTGAGGTGTGGACGTTGATCGGTGAGCGTTAAAAACCGACATTGTGAGGTGTAAATGTTATTCGGGTGAACGTAGAAAACCCGGTTGTGATAGTGGATTTCTCCCCGGGAGTGGAGAGCGGAGACGTAGGACGGAAGGTCCGAACTCCGCGATCATATCGTGTGTTTGAGTTTGCTTTGGCGCACTTCTCTTATGATTATATTTTTTTGTCGTTATTGTCCATTGCTCATTATTTATATCATCCACTATCTTGTTTATTTTGTTTACCTTGTGTATATCACTTATCCTAGCTCACATATCTTGTTGTATTTTATACTTGCTAGGATAACTTGTTAATAAGCTTTAATTTGTATAAAATCGGATTAGATTAGCATAAGACCCTAACCCCCCCCCCCCCCCTCGGGTCTAACAAAAAACTCTACAAACATATCAGGTATCTTATAACAAAAAACATCTAAATAATACATCACCATTGCATATTTCACAGAGTAAAACACTTGAGGCTTGTCTCGCATTTCACACATATTCAAAGTGAGAATAAGTTGATATCAGAGCAAATAAGTAGTAATTCCATGTGTTATGCATTAAAAATGTAGCTCTGTAAACCTCGATTTCAACCCATAAGTCATGCTCAAACATCATCATATATAAACAGAGTAGGTACAACTGAATAGCATGTGAGAAGAGAAGTATCCTCGATGTAAAGAAATTGCAACTGAGAATTCAGAAGTGCTCGTATCATAAACCCTATTTGCAACAACAAAAGAGTAAGCAGGTAAATTCTTTTTGAAAGTATCAATCTGAGAGCATACAATAAACTGATCTGGACGGTGTTTTCCTGTAGCAAGAAAATGCAATCTCATTAATGCAACTATCTCATACTCTTTTTAAGTAGAACACGACAAGGAATATGCCATCACTATATGAGCCCAAAACCTACAAAGAAAATGAGCAGAGATTGATTATGAGCCACTCCTCTATATATCTTAGATCACCATCCTCTCAATCAGACTTACCTGACAATACAAACAAAAGATCAGAACTTTCTAATATTTAGCATCAATTATAAAAGAAGAATGAGGGCTTCTGTATGGAAATATGAAAATAAAAAGATACATATTGATTCCAAAGAAATACCCCAAGATTAAGGCTTTTCTACAAAATTATATATCTAGAATTAACAATACCAAACAAGTGTACATATTTACTAAAATAAGAAAATCAAATTTGTAAGAGGAACCTTACTTCAGATTTTGGAGGTTGATCCTGAGCTAGTCCTCTTTCTCAAATCACAATTCACCCAATCATATTTACCTAACAATCAAATCTAAATAGTAGAATGCTCCAATAAGAATTAATTTTGAAAGAAAAATAGAGCATAAAAAGAATCATACAGAGATTGATTAGGACTTTTATCCAAAGAAACACCCGTTAGGAGCTCTGCACCAAAGCATGAAGGAAAAAGTAGATCTCTTCACAAAATTAAAATTGAATTACCTTAAGAATGGGTTCAAAGATTTGGGGGTTCTTGTTATCCAACTAGAAACTACTCCTTAAGAATAAAGAGAATAAAATCTCTTTTTTCATCATCAGGAAATGACTTCAACAAATAAAACTTTTCCAGGTTGCTATGCATTATCTTCTCAAATGCATTGAACACTTGACTGCGACTTAAGTTGAGTATTTTTTAGACCACTTGATGAATCTCCTCTCCGGTTGGTGGTTTTATTACTACTTCCTTCTTTCTCTCATTAAAATACTCACTCACAGAAACTGTCATCATTGCAAATGAATCAACCATTTTATCCCCTTTATTTGTTTCTTTGAACTTGTCTCACCACTAGTTGATGCTCTAGGAAGATATTTCCTTGAAGAGCTTCCACCTTCATTTGTTTCAGATTGTGCCTCAAATTCCTTATGTTGCATTGCGTTAGCAGCCTCTTCAATGGTTTCTGCATATTCACCATTGGCTCTATCTTTTGGACATAATACCATAATGTCATCTCAATTTTCAATCAAACGATTATGGTAGCCTTTTGCATCTGGATTAGCCTGCAATATAAGAACATTCACAAATATTTTTAGATATATGCAACAAACTAATAATTCAAATTAATAAGTATAAAGTGCAATATTATCATAACATAGTCGCTTCATACTTTTTGCTCACTAGCGGGTATAATCATCATTTTCTTCTCATCATCTCACCACGTCAAACCACTTTTATTTTTAATGTCATAGATAACATTATAATGTGTTTTCCAAATTTTGAGTCGATTCTTCACGTTATCTTTGTTCAAGTTGCTATTAAATGATTTTAGTGCATCAACCGCAGCTTGATACATTTGAGGCTTCCAAGTACCGTCGACTTTTAATCCTTGTTCATTTGATCATTAAAATTGAGTCCATATCACGATTCCACACAACATATGATCTCGACTGAGATACAATTTTTTTCCCTTTCTTTGTCATCCTAATACATACCAAAGTGAATGACACAGAATTAGTAATAAAGCACAAAGGTTGATTAATAATGAACCTTCGACATTGTAGAATGAAGGCACGAGAAAAAGGTGATGGCTACAAGTGTAAATAGCTACTGCAAAGTCTGCAAGCAATGAACAAAACAATGTTACTCCAATATTCAAAGATCATAAAACTTATCAAAGACATAAAATTATTCATAACTGCTGACCAACTTTAGCATCAAATCTTATGGATGCTAGCCCCCTCTCAAAGTCGGTATTCATCCCACATTTGCATAGCTAAATCATCTCTAAAGTTACTCCATTCATTTGTAACTCTCACAGTGGTGATACGCTCCTCATCTACATTCTCAATTTCTAAAATAGAAGCATCTTCTAATTCTCGATCCACATCATTCAACAAGTCGTCTTCATTCATCTCTTCACGTAAAAAATTGTGAAGAATACAACATGCATTAATGATCCTAATTTGAGTCTTAACACTATAAAAGCTAGCTGTCCGTAATAGAGTCCATCGCTTTTTAGCAACCCGAATGCCCTCTCAATTGTGTTTCTAGCAGAGGAATGACGTTGGTTAAATAACTCCTTGTAGTTTCTTGGACCATTTTCTCTCCAAGACTTTATATGATAGTGAGTCCCTCTATAAGGTGCCAAAAACCTCGGCCCATTTGTATACCCAGCATCCACAAGAAAGTATTTATCTACAAAATCAAAATCTTTTTTAGATATATGCAACAAACTAATAATTCAAATTAATAAGTATAAAGTGCGATATTACCGAAACATAGTCGCTCCATACTTTTTGCTCACTAGCGGGTATAATCACCATTTTCTTCTCATCATCCCACCACGTCAAACCACTTTTATTTTTAATGTCATAGATAACATTATAATGTGTTTTCCAAATTTTGAGTCGATTCTTCACGTTATCTTTGTTCAAGTTGCTATTAAATGATTTTAGTGCATCAACCGCAGCTTGATACATTTGAGGCTTCCAAGTACCGTCGACTTTTAATCCTTGTTCATTTGATCATTAAAATTGAGTCCATATCACGATTCCACACAACATATGATCTCGACTGAGATGCAATTTGTTTTCCTTTCTTTATCATCCTAATACATACCAATAGACACAGAATGATTAATGTTCATCGCATAAATAAAAAATTACACCTTATGTTAGTGAAAAATGACCAAACTCTTGGGTATTTTTGAACTGGCATGAGATTTTCAAGCCAGCTTATAAACCTTATATATATGGGAGACTATGATTGGCAGCAAACTAGTCAGCTAAATAAAACAGATAAGATGTAGCAAATTTGCACTAGTTAAAGCCACAGAAAACAGCCAAGATACAAGCACGAAATGTTCAATCTAGAAAAAGCGTTAAAACATTTGGAACACCTTTACCATCTACCTCACCAACAAATAGAGTGAAAAGCCAATAAGACCAGCAACAACACAGAATTAACAGCACCTATGTAGTGTCGTGGTACAATTGCAATCAAATATCTTAAATAGCATCAAAATGAGCATTCCAAATGATAATTAAAAAACTAAAACTTTTGCAATTGGGAAGGAACACTAACCTCAAATCCGAGGACTAACATAAGGTGTAATAGCCCCAAGTAAACAGAAAAAAAATCATGTTCCTCACCGCATATATAAAAATCTACAACCAGTCATCAGCAAATATAAAATATACAAATTTAGTCAAGAGTAATACACTTGACTAAATTAACCACACTGCATAAACAGAAACTACACTACATATATAAAAATCTCACAACCAGTCATCATCATCTTCATACTCGTCACCCTCATTTCCATCTTGTAGCTAAAGTATCTCAAAGTCGGTATTCATCCCACATTTGTATAGCTAAATCATCTCTAAAGTTGCTTCATTCATCTGTAACTCTCACAATGGTGATACGCTCCTCAACTACATTCTTAATTTCTAAAACAAGAGCATCTTCTAATTCTCGATCCACATCATTCAACAAGTCGTCTTCATTCATCTCTTCACGTAAAAAGTTGTGAAGAATACAACATGCATTAATGATCCTAATTTGAGTGTTAACACTATAAAAGCTAGATGTCTGTAATATAGCCCATCGTTTTTTTAGCAATCCGAATGCCCTCTCAATTGTGTTTCTAGCAGAGGAATAACGTTGGTTAAATAACTCCTTGTAGTTTCTTGGACCATAGCGACAACTTCTTCAATCGTGACATTTCTTGATGCTACTAATCCCCCCTCTAGTACATAGAACATCACATAACCTCTTAAACGCTTGAGGATTCATCCTTAGTTGTTCAACACAGTTATTTGCATTGCAAATAAGATTTCGAATCCAAGACTTTCTAAGGTATGTCCTTTCATCATCTTCTTCATGTGTTCTTGAACTCTCCTTCAACATGTGCTTTGTATAGTACCAAGCACCAATGGCAGCAACTATAAAACTGACCACTACCATAATAATGTCATCATCCTCTCTCCTCTCAAATTCTTCCCTTGTACGTTTAAGTTGGATCCTTGAATCCCTTTCATCATTTACCATTTTTAACCTATCACATTAAAAGTTGAACATGCAAGCAGATTACACATATATCCTGAATATATATTTACCAGGATGCAAATTTAATGGAGTTCTAAGAAAAAACAACTCAAGACATAGATATATTGAGGTAATTTAGACTTTTCATGAAATTCTTAGTTCACATTGGAAAATTTAAACTAACAAACTATAGAGGGTCTACTACATGCAATTCAACCTATTTTTTTATTTTTATTATATTTTTGGTAGGATACATATAATTAAATATCTGAATCTGTGACCAATTATGCTGACCCTGCAATTTGTACCTAGACTTAGGTTTCTAGATATATAGAAGACGTTGATACCCTTTGATTTCATAAATTTTGTTTTTACCCCATTCTTATATCACATAAAGTGTATATTATTTAGTTTGTTCTGCTTCGTATTCATAAATGTTCCTCCTGTATCCATGTTAAATATGTATCCATTACTAACACTTTCTTAACCAAATGAAAATCAACCTATCACTTGAATTTTCACCCCCAAAAACATATCGATATAACCTCAATTTTAAGTATAATCAAGCTCCCAGAAATTGTTACATAAATAAGATAAAAAGAAAAAAGGTTGTACCTCTGAGATGAGAAAAGCTCTCCCTACTCGGATTAGCTAAGACTCCATCAAAATCATCAAACCCTAATGCATGTTCATAATAAAATCATCAAAAAATCAGAAACAATTGGTTAAAATAATGTTTAGATTACAAGAACCACAATCAGTAGAGATCACATCGAGAGTACTAGATCTGATCTAAGGTTTTGCCACGAAGAACACGACCTAAACCCTAGATCAGATCTAGGGTTTCGACTGTAGGGGAGAGGGGGGGAGGGGGAGATGCA